GACAAGGTATTGACACAAAGCATTGTTCAGATACGTTGTAGACTCGTTGACAAAGCATTTACAAACGACTGGAATCGATATACCGCATAAAAAATTACTCATACTCAAGTTGATATTGAATGATCATGAGGTCATAAACGAGTACATAATAAGTATGTTTGTTTAAGCTTTACATATGAGCAAAATCTATTTATTGTATTGATATATATTATCTTTTAAATTAGTCCAATTAAGGATGATATTAATTTATTAATTTATCATATTTATTAATACATCGATGATTAACTTATAGAAATTTTATGATAGGATTGGTAATATTTTGTAGGTTTTTAATTTAATTAGGTAAATACTCGTGCTACACTAAGGGATATATTTTTTAAAAAACTGTTGTAGATATTTGATTAATATTTAAATATTTAGTTTATTGAATTTTAACACACTACAAGAAAAATATATATTACATCACTTATAAAGTGTCAATAACATAACTGATTCTATTTAAAATTACTTATTAAAATTTGATATTAAATATAAAATTTTACATCAGTTTTTAAGTGATACTAATCTTAACTTGACTAGTATCAATTAAAAACAATTTATATTAATATTAAATTGATTAACATCAATTAAAAGAAATGATACAAATCATTATTAATTTATATCACCTTTGAAAAACTAATACACATATATAAGTTTACATCAATATATAAGTGAATAATTTCATCAACTGACATTAACATCAATAATAAATGATGCTAGTATTTCTTTCAATTATAAAAGTGATGCAAATAAAATTGTAACTAAACAACTATTTGTCCCACATTACAAAGAATGATGAAGAGTACTAATTTCTTCCTCTATAAAAGAAATTCATCAACACTAAAATTTATTTTATATTAAATTATATGTATGTATTTACATATATTTTTCTTAGAATAATAAATATAAATAATTAGTTATCTTAAATTTATAATATTATAAAAATCACACAAAATCTTAAATCAATATGAATTTTAATATTCCTGATTTATAATTGACATAATAATACTATCAGCTAAAATATATGATATAAATATATAATATCATTTATTATAAATGATAGTAAATATTTATATCATTTATTCTAAGTGATGTAAATATTAATATCAATTATTTTAACTGAGTCAAATAATAATATAACTTATTGCAGATGATATATATTAATATCAGTTAATATAAGTGATGAAAATAATTACATCATTAATAAAATTGATTTAAATGATTAGCATCATCACTTTCAGAGTTATTTAATTAAATGATACAACTAAATTTGTATTAATTAAAAAGTAATATTAACAAATAAAATAAACAATACAACACACATGATTTCTTGTAATAACATATAAGCACATAAATTTTGAAAAAATATTCAATTAATAATAGATAAAATTCACCAAACTAATAGTTAAAATAATGTTTATGTTTGCGAGCAAACATTAAATTTTATCTAGAAATGAATTTGCTATATTTTTTTTTTTTTATAATTTTAAGATCTACTAATTTAGTAGACTTTCTGAGAGTTGTACTGTATTGGTTTATAAACTAAATTTTAATTGTTAAATTAAATAGTTTGATTTGTATGAAACTTTGTTTTTTTTATAGATGTTAAGTATATATATTTTGTTTATATATACAATTTTTTTTTAAAGTATCAAACAATCACGCAAATAGTAAATTATTTCAACATGAAATCAAACAACCATACAAACAGAGAACAAGATAGATACATGCGCCTAACGCAGGTGGTAAAAGGAACTCGTTCATGTTGTATCGTTTCAAAAGAGACCACGTATGACTTGCGAAATATTCTTCTTTAACGAGCCATGGGGTTCACTTGAGTACCAAATGTCATGGTCACTTCTCGGGAACCTTTGGAATCCATGTCTCCCCTCGAGTTTTCAAATGTTAAACACTCCATTAGTTCAACAACAACTTGTGACATGGTCGGTCTACTCGTTGACGAAGCATTGACACAAGTCATTGCTAGCTCAACAAATTTCCAAACTGAATCAGAGTGGTAATCTCGCTTAAGACTTGGATCCGTAATGTTTCTTATGTCTCCTTTGGTAACCATTAATCCTACCCATTCTCCTATGTGTGCTCTTTCACGACTCTGTTCAATCACTGGCCGATTTGTTAAAATCTCCAATAAAACGACCCCAAAACTATACACATCACTCTTTTCTGTCAACCAGTTTGTTCTGTAATACCTGCAATGATATATTATGGGTCAGAGTTGTTAAAGATTTGAAGTAAGAGCAGAACACAGATGATATAGTTAAGTACTCTGGATCAAGGTAACCAAGAGTTCCTGCAACAACTGTGGAGACATGACTCTCTCCTTCGTTTGAAAATGATCTCGAAAGCCCAAAATCGGCAAGTTTTGCTTGCATGTGTTGGTCCAACAATATGTTTGCTGTTTTTACATCTCTATGAACAATTGCCGGTTTGCATCCTTTATGCAAATATTCCAACCCTAGTGTAACATATTCTTTTTTTATCCAAGTTTATCATTGCATAATAAAACTAAATTCCTTGAGAGCAAAACGATACGTTGATTATTATTAGGCTTCACTAACCTTGTGCGGCCTCGACTGCTATTTTTAGTCTAGTTCCCCATCTTACAACCGAGGATTCGTGCTTCCCTGTGTGTTTTAGCGTGGACATAAGCTTCATGTTTTGGATATAGCGCATGAGATGTGTATTCAAATTTCGTTTACCTGACAAAAGCTCTTTCAAATCTCCATTGGCCATGTATTCGTAGACGAGAGCCAAGTCCTTCCCTTTTTCACAATATCCAACAAGGCTTACCAAGTTCTTGTGATGGACTCTCAGAAGAAGATCAACCTAACAAACCAACACGAAACAAAAACACAATTATATGGTTTCATATATAACAAAAAGTGGTAAAAAAGACACTTGCTTAAATGAAGACTGTGGTTCTACGAGAGTACCTCTGCCTTGAATTGTTTGTACCCATGAGTTGAGACCTGAGAGACTACTTTAACAGCAACTTGTTCTGTACCATTTACATATCCATGATAAACCATACTGAACCCTCCTTTCCCAAGAATCCTTTCAAAGTTATTTGTCATTTCAGTAATCTCTGCGTAAGTAAACTTTTTCTTTTTCGTTATTCTTGGTGGCTCGGATGTTCGTGGGGTTGTACCATCTTCTGCAACACAAAAGATGATCAATATTAATATTATTACCGAAAAAAAAGATGATCAATATATGATTTTTTTTAGTAGTACTGTATACATGAAAAATTAATAAATTCGTTATGAATACCTTCACTCTTTGATGTTTTTTTCCGTTTGAGAACAAAAAACGTAACCAATGCAGTCGCAATAACAACCATTGAAGCAACTGATGCCACAACCGGTACAGTTATACTCTTTCTGGTATGGTCACCTTCTCCATGTTTATTTACGCATGGCCCTTCTATGCAAATAAGGTTAGGGTTGCCTTCAATACTGTGTATCACAAATGCTATATTCAGTATATGAAAGAGATTAATTAAAAATGTTTATATGGTAATCAAAAAAACTAAAATAATAAAATGAGAAAAGTTTTACTTCAACTTCAGTCCTTTCTTATGTAGAAGCTTTTGAGGAAGTTGGCCACTAAGATTGTTTCCACTTAAGTTTCTGTTACGGTAGAAAAATGATAAAGGTATATAACACAAGTAGGGAATTTAGGAGAGTGCTAATCGAAATACATTTATATATGATTTATTCATAAAGTTTTAAAAAGTACTTACATGATCAGGAGAGATTTCATGTCAGCTAGAAACTCAGGCACAACACCGGTCAAGTCGTTATCTGACAAATCCCTAGCATTTGATGAAAGCATAAAAATCCATCACATTAGACACACAAAAATATCATGTCGTATGTGTCATGTGTGATCATACTTACAGTTCTTGTAGATTGGTTAGATTCTGAATGGCAGGTACGATGCTACCGGTCAATCCACTTGAGGACAAATTTCTAGTGATATATAGTCATGAATATGTTTCAAATGTAATATATTTAGATTAGAGAAATGACTTGATCATGGTACAATGATCGAGAAAAGTCTTACAAGGAAGTGATCGTTGGTGGTGTGGAGCTATCAGTGTTGTTACAGTTTAGATCAGTCCACAAGAACTGTTTAGGGACACAAGGATCTCCTTGCCAACTAATTCTACTCAATCCATAAGCAATTTGGATCTTCTTGATAGCAATAACTGGCTCCGTTACATAGTTCCAGTTTATATGTACTCAAAAATTCATATATATTCAAAATTATAGATTCACGCACCTTCATCTTGGTTTGTCTCTGATTGAGGAAATTCAACAACGGTAAAAATTTCAATAGCATTGATGAGAGGAGGAAGAGTTGACTTTGTTGTTTTCACCAGCTGCAACAGGCAAACCCCTCCTTTGCATCTCAATGTCGATTCGGGTTTGGTGATCATAGTTTCTATTCTTAACATCTTAGGACTGTAAGGTCCATAAAAAACTTCTCCATTTATCAAAACATTGAATTCCCTGGTCTCGTTGGCTAACAAAGTTTGAATCTCTGCAAAGTGAAGGTAAATGTGAAACCGTGTTGTAGAATCATCCAAACTCCAAGGAATATCCCATGTCCCATTATCATTTACATAGGTTGCCGCCGATGTCATTGCACCTTGCGGCGGATCATAACCATTAGAAGCGTTTACAATGAGAGTTGTAGTTACTAGAGTCCACTCCTTATTAACCAAAGGGAACCACCTACGGTCATAGACATCATCAGGGTACCTGCCAAAATCTTGTATTAGAGTAAACAGAACCACGAGTGGCACTAGTGTAAGTATTAAAGACAGAAACAATGTTTCTCCACTTTCTTCTTGTTCTAGCTTAGCAGTGGCTGTAAATAAAACTTTACCATGATCCAAGATAAAGATTCCTTGTCACACACACGTCAAAGTTTACTTACCGTAAAATGCCGCCTGAGCCACTATGATAACTTCTGGATAAGAACTTCAAGGAGCTCCCAACGCCACTTACGTATACATCACTTCTCAATGGCCGTAGCTCCAAGGCCGAAATCATCGGCGTAGTGGTTCCAATCTTAACAAGACAGATCTGCAAAGAGCTTAACCTAGACATGTGAATAATCTCCTCGTACTTACCACCTCCGGTAGCATTCAAATTTACCGTTGTCCACTTATTAGGGCCAAGAAACAGATCAAAGTTTGGGATAATATTACGACCGTCATAATTCCCATAAAAGAAGGAAGCCCTAATCAGATAATTTATTCCTCGCGTGACCTTCACGTTATAGCAATTGCGTTCTCCATCTGGAAAGTATCTCAGCGTTACAAACGCCTTTGCAAAGTTTCGCTCAGACTCCTTATCAACTCGACCGTTCTTTCCACTTTCTACGAAACTAGAATCTGTGGTGAATGTTAATCCGGTAGATGGATCAACGTATGGAGATCCATCAGGTAATAAACCGCAATCCAAAGTGATGAATCCTTGTAAGAACAAAGGAAACAAAGGAAGGAAAAGAAAGTCTAATTACACCATATATTAATATAATCGATAGGAGAGTTCGAATAATACAGGATTTTGCAATACTATATACCTTTTTGCTCCTGCGCTTGAACAAGATTTATCAGAGAAAATGTGATAACGAACACATACAAAACTCCATGAAAATGCATCTCCATTTTCTCTTAATTCTTTGAGGAGTTTGATATCAACATCTTTCCAAGTTTCTGAAATATTAATCTGTGTCATCTAATCAAGTGGACATTAAAGAAATATGTTTGATTAAATTAAATCCATAATTAGTCAACTGAAATAAATAATATGTGCTTTGAAAACCTGGAAAGTTGATAGTTTCTTGCAACATCGACTGTTTATTTATAAAAATGGAAAAAACCTTAATTTCTAATGCATTGTAGATTACCAAATGCGTATCTTAGATTTCACAACGATAAATCCTGAATTATCGAAGTTCTATGTTTCTGTTTGAAACTACACAGTGAATGTGGTAATTAAGTGATACCAGTGATTAACACAGTGAATGTGGTAATTTTAAATGCCAGTGATTAATTAAGTGAGTTTTTATCTCGGTTTGTAGAAATCAATCACTGGATTGATGACAAGTAGAATGATGTAAGATAGTTTACCAACCCCAATGCAGATTTGTAGGGGTCTAATAACAAGTTCTTAGTAATATAATTGAATTAAAAAATTATGTAGAGTGTCTAATGTTTTAGACCAAAATCTAAAATAGGATCTTTTTTTTGGTTTAAGAACAGACAGATGACAGAATATGAGTGAACAAAAAAAATAACACAGCAAATAAAAAATAAAAAAATTTATAATTTATTTTGTTAGTGTTATCATTGGGGTTGCTCTTAGTAGTTCCTTAAGATCCTTACTAATGGTGTTACCATTAGAGTTACTCCATACATGGAGATGATGATAATAAGGAGAAACTTATTTTCTGAGTCTTTTTTCCCAAATGACAAAACCCTAATTTTGACTGAGGAAGAAACACAATGTTGGTGTTAGTTACAGCCATGTCTGATGTATGTAACGATCAAAATTTTGCCATCCGAGTTGGTCTTATCTTGTAACTTTTTATAGGTCAAGGGCCTATCTCGTAAAACATACAAAGTTTGGAGGTCCTTAAAATTTTATAAATTAAAATAAATAAAAGGAAGCAGTCTCTGAATCTTTAATCTTACAAGTTGAAAATAGAAAGCCATTAAGTTAAGTCAACTCTATCTATACATTTATAGTTGACCCTTGTAATTTTCAAATGTGTTATATAGATTTCAAGAACATGTAAGGATAAGCTGAAGTTATAATATGCTAATGCTCGCACCATTAATTAGTTTTAAAGTATTTGAAGAACATGTCAACGATTACTATTGAGACGTGAGTCCCAAGCTGTAAGATCAAATAAAAACTCCGATTCTAGGTTTAAGCTAAGTTAAGTCAACTCTATCTATTCATTTATAATTGACCCTTGTAATGTTCAACTGTGTTATATATAATTCAAGAACATGTAAGGATAAGGTGAATTTATAATAAGCTAATGCTAGCACCATTAATTAGTTTTAGAGTATTTGAAGAACATGTCAACAATCATTTCGAGACGTGCGATCCAAGTTATAAAACAAAACAAAAAACTCCGATTCTAGGTTTTATTTTTCGCTTTTAACTTCGATTATCCTGAATTGGAATTACTTGCTTAGCAAAAAATATCAAGAAAAAATATATTTGGTTGAGACGGAATGCATGATCTTTTAGCAAAAAAAATAAAAATAAAAAAAAAACAGAGTGCATGTTTCCTGATTTCCTCGGTTATAGTCAATCATTCTGTGTTTTTTTTTTTTGTCTGATACAAAAGTCATTGTTTCCTTTTTTTGAAAAGAGACTCTGACCGCTGTTGATTAACAAAATAATCAAGTATTGTTTACAAACAAATATGATGAATTTATTAGAGAAGCAGAGAATGTACGATAGTTCCACAAGACTTATAAGAGAACTAAAATCCAAACGATACTAACAGAAAATTCTGCATGACCTTCACCGAGCAGTAGGGTTCACTTCAGTTCCAAAGATCATGCTTACTTCTCCAAAACTCTTTGAATGCATCTCCTGACTCTCTCCTCTCCTTAAGCTTTCAGAGACCAAACACTCTTTTAGTTCAAAAACAACTTGAGACATTGTCGGTCTTGTCACTGAAGAAGGATTCAAACATGACATTGCTAATTCAACAGCTTTCCACACAGAAGCAGAATCATAATCTCCATGGAGATTTGGATCTGTAATACTTTTGATGTCTCCTTTCGTTAGCATTGATCCCACCCACTCTGCTATGTGTGGCCTTTTGCGGTTTTGTTCAATCACTGGTTGGTTTGTAATAATCACCAATAACACAATTCCGAAACTATACACATCACTTTTCTCTGTCAACCAGTTTGTTCTGTAATATCTGTCACATTTAAGAATCTTACTTAATCACTAGAGAAAGAAAAAAAAAACAATCTACCAAATATATAAATATACATATTTAAGAAGTAATACTTACTCCGGATCGAGGTATCCAATAGTTCCAGCAACAACTGTTGACACATGAGTTTCCCCTTCGATCGGAAATGATCTCGATAGCCCAAAATCAGCAAGTTTGGTATGGAAGTTTTCATTCAACAATATATTTGTGGTTTTGATATCTCTATGAACCATTAGTGGTTTGCATCCATTATGCAAATACTCCAATCCTATGAAAAAAAAATAAAAAAAAATGAGTCAGAGCAAATAAACAAAGAAAGAATATGATGAGTATTTGAGAACTGAAGATGAACCTTGTGCAGACTCGACAGCAATCTTTAGTCTAGTTCCCCAATTTAAAATAGAGCCACCGCGTTTTCCTACGTATTGATGAAAGAAAACTAAGAAATGCTAACTTTTCAAAATATGTTTTTTTAATGAGAAAATACTCCAAAATAACAAAAAATAAGAAAATAATGAGAAATGAATATTCACTACATAAAAATTATTTTTTTTTATGTAAAAATGACATTTTCAATAATTTTTATAAATATTAGTACTATACTTCTAATTACTTTTACTTATAGATTAATGGCTAATGACAGATTAATAACATACTAAATGTAAACTTTTGACATACTCACTGTTATATAATTATATACAAACTAATAGCAGATAAATGGTAGACTAAATACATACTACTTACAAATTAGCGGCAGACTGAAAACACACTAGTGAACCTCTCGGATTGATCATTATAGAAAGGATCATGTTTCGTAATAAAATCATCAAATAAATTATTTTAAAAATTATCCCATTTATTAAGGTTGGTTTAATGGGAAAAATGAAGAATGCCAAAATATGTTTACTATTGTGTGATAATCAATCAATAAAAAGTATAATCATTGGTACTACTATTTTTCTAAAACCAAAAAAAAACATATCAAATTAACTGAAATATGGATTGAAAAACTCTAATTATTCTAGACCATATCAAATATCTAACATTGTTTAAAAACACGTATATATTCATTTATTTAAAAAAAAATTTGCAACCTGCTTATAGACAGATTTTATATTATATATTTTATAAATTTTGAAATAAATCCAAAAAATTAAAAGTAAAAAATCATATGTGAAATAAAATTAAGAACAGGATGTAACACCATCAATTGGACCCGTTTATAGACGGGTCCATACATAAACCCCATATAATTTTTGGCTACATAAACACAGAGAATAAAAGAAGTGTTGTCTTTGTAGTGGCTAAGTATTATGTTTACGGTTTACCTGACATATGCTCATCTAAGTCTCCATTGGCCATGTATTCGTAGATGAGAGCCAAATTATCTTCTTCTTCACAATATCCAACAAGGCTGAGCAAATTCGTGTGATGTACTCTAAGAAGAAGTTCCACCTAACGTACCACATGATACACCAAATTAGCATTGAAAAAAAGGCCTGAAATGTTTAATTAAGAATTCCATTAAGGGTTAAGTTGTAGTATATATGTACCTCAGCTTTAAATTGTTTATATCCTTGAGCTGATGAATGGGAAAGCATTTTAACAGCAACCTGCTCTGTACCGTTTACCAAACCATGATATACAATTCCAAATCCTCCTTTTCCAAGGATTCTTTGGAAATTATTTGTCATGGTTATGACCTCCGAATACGTAAATTTTTTATTCTTAGTAATTATTTTCGGTTCAGATATTTTTGGTTCAGATGATCTATCATCCAAGGGTAGCATACACGATGTTGGCGCTAAAGTTGTGAAGAAAACATTCAATGAAACTATGTAAGTTTAATGTTACTCATATATAATATAATGTATCTTGATCGATAAATATATTGTGCATACCTTCATCGTTTGATGGAGTTTTCTTTCGAATAACACAAAATATAACTAATGCAACTATGAGGGCAACTGCAGAAGCAATTGATGCTACAATTGGGATTATGATGCTCTTTTTGTGCTGTCCACCTTCTTCATCTTTATTTATACATGACCCCACCGTACAATGAAGCTGTGGATTGCCTTCAATGCTTTGGATTGCAAGTGTTGTTCAACAAAATTTAGTTGATCATAGGAAACATGTTAGTTATATATATAAAAAAATACAATAAAGGAATTCTTACTTCAATTTCAACATTTTCTTCTCTAGAAGCTTTTGAGGAACTAAGCCACTAAGATTGTTCCCACGTAAGTTTCTGTTAAGACAAACACAGAGATTAAACAAAAAGAATCCATTTTATATAGAGGGTTAAAAGACATAATTCATTCATTCTCGTGGGCAACTTACATGACTACGAGCGATTTCATATCGGCTAAAAATTCAGGGACACCACCGATCAAGTTGTTATTTGACAAGTCCCTGTATATATTTGGAGACAAACTATAATTTATATTTGCAGATTTTCCTACGAAAAAAAATTAACAATGCTTAAAAGGTCATTTTTAGAAGAGTTTGTTTGGCAATTTTAATGTGGAAAGGGGACCCCTAATAGAGAAAATTATAAAAGGAGTACACTAGTGTACATTCAATATACTGTTAATCTGTTATTAGATTGTATTTACTCTTATCATTAATCTGTATTTAGTCTACTTTTAATTATATAATGAATTTGTTCTTCTAAAGTTTTATTTTTGTTTCATAAAAAGTGTCATTTTACATTTTCAATGCATAATTTTAAATAAATATCCAGTTTTAACCTTTGAATTTTATAGTTTTAATTAAAAAGAGAGTGTTATTTTGTATGTGACCAATGGATAAAACAGAACTTTTAATAATTTTCTTAATTTGTGTGAAAAGTGTCAAAGTAACACTCTTTATAAAACGAAAAGAGTATTAATTTGCATTTTAGTGTCATTAATATGTAATAGACTAATAGTTATAAATATAGCGTTAGTATTTATAAAATATTCATTAAAAATATTATTTCTACAACTTTATTTTGAAAGAGTATATTTAACAATATTTTTTATTGTAAGTTTTTTGGATCATTTCCTCAAATTTAAATTTACTAGTTGTGTAATACTTACAATTCTTGCAGATTGGTGAGCTCTTGAATGGTCAACGCGATGATCCCAGTCAATCCACTTGAAGACAAGTCTCTAGTGATGACAAATTCATGAATTTGTTAAGTGTTACAAGTTACAACATTAAGAGTAGGATGAAAACGATTAAACCATGTCCCCTTACAAGGAAGTGATAGTCGGTGGCATAGAAATATCTGAGTTGTTGCAGGTTAATCCATTCCACAAGAACTGTTTGGGGACACATGGATCTCCTTGCCAGTTGACTCTACTCAATCCATAAATAGATTGAATATTCTTGATAGCAACCACTAGTAGCCGTTCATAAAGTAATAGCAAGACTCAACACATTGACATAAGCAATTTTGCAAGTATGAAAAGAAAGAAAAAAACATACCTTCATCTCCATTTGTTTCCAACTGTGAGAAATCAATCACAGTGAAAACCTCAATGGCGTTTATCAAAGGCGGCAAAGTTGACCTTGACGTTCTCACTAGCTGCAACAAGCATTCCCCTCCATCGCATTGCTTTGGTGATTTGCTGAAAACCGTTTGCATTCTTAAAAACTTAGGACTATAAGATTCAACTGTAACGTTTCCATTCATATTCATATCAAATTCCCTTGTCTTGTTGGCTTCTAGAGTAAGAAGCTCTGCAAAATGCAAGTATAAGTAAAATTTTGAAGTTGGAAGCTTTAAAGTCCAAGATATTTCCAACGTCGTTGTGCTACTATTTATGGGTGTAATAGCCGTTGTTATTACACGTTGCGGTAGATCGTAACCATTAGAAGTGTTTACTTGGAGAGTTGTAGTCAAAAGCTCCCACTGCTTCTTTGGTGTAATCGGTTGCCATATACGATCATAGACATCATCGGGGTACCTGTCACAATTTTACGTTAGAAACATTACTAGGCAATGTATTATAATTTTTTTTTTTGGTCAATAAATTGTATGAATCGATTCTTACTCTATATAGCTTTTTGAATTGCTAAAATAAGCCCGAAAATAGTAACTGAGCGAGCTGCTTTCGGTGGGGTATACATCGTCCGCCAATGGTCGTAGTTCCAGTGTATTTATCATTGGTATACTTGTTCCTGTCTTAATAAGACAGATCTGCAAAGAGTTGGATCTCGACACGTGGAGGATTTCCTCTTGAGTATCATTGGTATTCACTGTTATCCACATATTCGGACCGATGTAAAGATCAAAATCTGGTACAACATTGAGACCATCATAGTTTCCATATACGAATGAAGCCTTGATGATGTACTTTGTGCCCCGCGTTACATTCACATTGTAGCAATTTCGTAATCCGTCTGGAAAGTATCTAAGCGTCAACTCCGGTTTGTTGTATAACGATTCAAATTCCTTTGCGATTTTGCCGGTTTTCCCACTATGGACTGAACCATCATCTGATGTATATGTTAACCCGGTCGATGATTCTTTATAAGGAGAGTCTTGAATGGACAAACCACAATCCAAATTGAGGAATCCTATAGTAATAAGACATGTATGAGACCAAATTAGTAAGCTCAAGATAATTAGGACAGATGATGAATATTTATTAGGGAATGAAAAACAATAAATGTGTAAGTATGTACCTATTGGATCCTGAGCTTGAACAAGATATAGTATAAGGAAAAGAGTTACAAAGAACGCATGATGTCTCTTCATTTTCTTATACTCTGATTTCAACATCTAATAAACTGAAGCGAGCTTATAAATTTACGATATCATCATTCCATGTATTATTTGAGTCATTTCTCAAATTGACATATTTAAAAACACATTTACTCATTGAGTAAGTTGACCTAATTATAATTTTCCTCTTATAATACTAATTTTCCTTAGCAAGATGGGAGAAATTTAATCTTAAAAGGTGACACAAAGAGTAGTAGTGCTCGAAGATTCTCCCATGTCCTTAAGAGAGGAGTAACTCATTGTGTTATTCAATTCTAACTACCTTTGTCCTCCTTAAGCCCAACACGTTGTAATTGCTTTTGGAATTGAAGTTAACCGGAAACAAACGTGGGCATCTCCCCAAACCAAACTAAAACAAACCATATCGGAAACAGTATGAATATATAAAGATTTTGTGGGATCAAACCAGAGCAAAAAAAAATTCTTTTCTTAGAGTTCATCACAAGATTACTTGATTAGGGTATGTAAAGATTTTGTGGGATCAACCAGAACAAGAAACTAAATTGAGTTTATTTTGGTTTGATGAGTTTCTCACACCCCTAACTAAACCATACACCTCAACCAAAATTGGTTATGAAATTAAAAACACCACTCGTTTATGTACATACTTAGAAAGCGTTTATCTCAACTTAAAAAATTGCAATTGGGCTAATAAACAAAGATGTTGTCAAGACAGAAAGTTGAACACAAATATAAAAGAAGACGTGGACACTTGGTTTCGCTGGTCCAAAGTCTTTCGAAGAAGGATATGTGTATGCATCACAATCTTCTACAATGGAACTAGTTGTTGACTTTGATTTTGTTTGCGCTCCATTAATTATTGTTTGGTCTTTGATCTACTACTCACATAAAATTTTAAGAACTGAAACAGTGGATCATAATTTATAATGTTACTGCTGGTTCTGGTTGTCACTTGAATATTTGAATCCGAAACATGTCATCTACTAATACACCATTAATATGTCACAAGTTTAAACAGTGACGTCTGAAACTATTAGTAGTCCATGTTCGTATTTTTTTTTTATTAAACTACATTTACTATGGTGAAATAGTTATTTAGAAATATATGAAATATATAATCCGTAAAATAAGGTTTTGAATTAAAAATAACATTTGAATAGTTTAGATATGCTAGTATCAAATTTTTGATATGTGAAATTGATCAAGAATTCAAAGTAAACAAAAGTATTGTAAACAACTGTAAAAGTGTTTTACTTGTGTTTCTCTGTTTTAGTTACACTCTGTTTGAAACAGAGCGTCGTTTTGCTCTGTTTACTAAGTTTTTTTTTTTTTTTTGAACATATCACATATGTTTTATGAAGTTTTCTTGTTTAAAACAGATTTTTTTTGTTCGCTTGTTTTTTTACTGTAGTATGCATGTTGTTAAATAAAACAAAATTTTGGTCTCTCCATTTTTATTAAAATCTGTCGAGAAGAGTCGCTGTTTTCTTGGTTTTCCTCCGTATTATTATGTCTAAATCTTTGTTTGCTAATTGGTACTCTGTTCTGAAACAGAGATATTTTTTCCTCTGTGTTGTTCATTTATTCAGTCAGAAACAGAGATTTTCTGCTTCTTTATGAAGCAATTTTCTTTGGTTATTCAACCGTCATCTACTTAGATAACATAATAGTATTACTCGAGCTAAGTACCATAAGATTTATCACCATCTTCACCTAGTAATCCCTTTCTTTTGTAAATTGATTTTCCAATACTAATCAAGAACAAAGCTAAACTCTTATACAGTTATACACATGTATAAATTAAGTCATAGGTCATTAACAAAAGTGACTTATAAGAGAGAGAGGGATTTGAGTATAGTTCTGAAAACTAGAAACATATAAACAAAAATATATGACGTAACCGCATGCTACTTCTTCATGTAATTTACCGAGCCATTGGGCTCACTTCAGTATCAAATGTCAAGCTCACTTCTATGGAACTCTTGGAGTCCATGTCCCTACTCGCTCCTCCCCTTGAATTTTCAGATACCAAACACTCGTTTAATGCCATAACAACTTGAGACATTGTCGGTCTTCTTGCTGAAGAAGGATTCAGACAAGACATTGCTAGTTCAACAGCTTTCCACACAGAACCAGAATCGAAATCTCCATTTAGACTTGGATCCATAATGTTATTGATGTCTCCTTTTGTAAGCATTAACCCCACCCATTCTGCTATATATGGCTTTTCACGGGTCTGGTCTATCACGGGTCGGTTTGTGATCATCTCCAACAATACAACCCCAAAACTATAAACATCACTCTTCTCTGTCAACCAATTTGTTCTGTAGTATCTGGAGAATGAAATGGAGGATAGAAATTATCAATTTTCTTTCTCATTAAACTGAATGAAATGAAGAATCTCTCAAGGGGTTATATATACTTACTCAGGATCAAGATATCCAGGAGTTCCAGCAACAACTGTTGACACATGAGTTTCACCTTCAATTGGAAATGACCTCGAAAGACCAAAATCAGCAAGTTTGGCCTCAAAGTGTTCATTCAACAATATATTTGTGGTTTTGATGTCTCTATGAACCATTGGGGGTTTGCATCCATTATGCAAATACTCAAGTCCTATGCCACAAAATCCAAAAGTTTCAGTCAAATGAAATGCAAAGAAACACAAAGCTAAGAATACTAATAGGGATGATAATCTATAAACCAACCTTGTGCAGACTCGATGAGTATTTTAAGTCTAGCTCCCCAATTCAAAATAAAGCGGCTACGTTTTCCTGTGTTTTAAAAAGATAGATGTGTGTCAAAAGAGTCTTGTGTTATCACCATAAACCTAGAACAATACAGTCAGGTCAAGTTTGTCTACCTGACATATGTTCCTTCAAATCTCCATTGGCCATGTACTCATAGATAAGAACCAAGTTATCTCCTTCATCACAATATCCAACAAGACCCACCAAATTCTTGTGATGAACTCTAAGAAGAAGTTCTACCTAAAAACCAAACCACAGTTACAAAGTTGTGGTATTAGAGTAGTGATGAAGGTGATAATTATTACCTCAGCTTTGAACTGTTTATATCCTTGCGATGATGAATGGGAAAGAATCTTGGCAGCTACTTGTTCTGTACCGTTCACAAAACCATGATAAACGATTCCAAAACCTCCTTTCCCAAGGACTCTTTGGAAGTTATTTGTCATCGTCATAACTTCTGAATAAGTAAATCTTCTATTCTTCATCAATATTGCCGGTTGAGATGATGATCTACCATCTGATGCTTGCATATACGATGGTTGTTGCCCTAAGGTTACAAATGAAAAATGTGGTTAAGCTTGATGTGTATATATGTATGCTTTGATATTTACTCTTGAGATTATTTATTGATGATACCTTCAAGTTTTGATGCCTTTTTCTTTCTGAGAACAAGGAACATGATGAATGCGCCTATAAGAACAGCTATTGAAGCAATTGATGCAACCACTGGTAAAATGATACTCTTTTTCTTATTTACATCCTCTTCTTTGTGCACACATGCACCGGTTGTGCAAATAAGATGGGGATTGTTGTCCACACTGCAGGATGTGAGTGTTGTGAATGATATCAAATACATCAATTGGTGTGTGATGACAGTTGAAAAGAAACAAAATATAGCTTACTGTAACATCAATCCTTTCTTTTGGAGAAGTGATGGAGGAACTGTGCCAGTTAAATTATTACCACTTAAGACTCTGTTGGAATAGATACAGAGTCAAAACATAAGCCAGTCATGTAGTTATTGGAGAAAAGCTTAACAAAGAGAAACCAAAAAAACAATATTTTGTGTCTCATGAGAGACTTACATGACCATGAGTGATTTCATGTCAGCTAAAAATTCAGGAACTTCTCCAATCAAATTGTTATTTGACAAGTCCCTAACATTAACAAAGGTGAAATAACCCATATCAAACATTCAATAGGCTACATAATTTTATAGGCTTGGTCAAGATACTTACAATATTTGCAGGTGGTCAAGATCTTGAATAGCTTCCGTGATATTACCGGTTAATCCACTTGACTTTAAGTCTCTGGAGGCAGAAAAAAGTGAGATTTCTAGTTCCAAATTGACATGATTTAAAAAATAAAGATGAATTATTGAACGATTCATCTTACAAGAAATAGATGATTGGTGGAGTAGAAATTTCCGAGTAATTGCAGGTAAGACCATCCCACACATACTGTTTGGGGACACATGGATCTCCTTGCCAACTGATTCTACTCAATCCGTAAGCATCTTGAACATTCTTGATAGCAGGAACTGCCATTGTAAAGCTTGATGATATCACGAATCAACACACAGAACGCAAAAACATTTGTAGATTAAAATCGACATACCATCATCTTCATTTGTCTCCATTTCAGGGAAATTAATCACGGTGAAAACCTCGATGGCATTAAGTAGAGGCGGAAGAATTGATTTAGACGTCATCACAAGCTGCAAAAGACATGACCCTTCATCGCATTGATCTGGTTTTAGGAGTATGGTATCAGTTTTTAGCAGTATAGGACTATAAGGTCCATATGAATATTCCCCATTCATTGTCATATTGAATTCCCTTGTGTCGTTTCCCCTTAGAGTCTGAAGCTCAGCAAAGTACATGTAGGAGTAAGACTGTGTAGTAGAAGGCTCTATAGGCCATGTAATGTCTATGGTTTCCTTAGCGGTTAGGGGCGTTGCGGCCGTTACCATTACACCTTCTGGTAAATCATTATTCATAATGTTTACATTCAAAGTCGTATTTACTTGTGCCCATGACCTATCCATGAAGAACGCAGACCATTCGCGATCATATATATCATCTGGATACCTGCCAAAACATTGTATAGTAGCTCATATTAGTAAGAGGAAATACTTCAAAATTACAAAATAAAAAAAAAGTAATGTAAAATGGATATCCCACTAAGAGAAAATTATGAAATGACTTTTTGACGATATTTATAAATATCAATGCTACTTTTCTAACTTATAAGCTAATGGCAGACTGAATGCAGACTACTGACAGACTGATTAGTTTTGCAATTGAACATAAACTACTAACAAACTAATAGTACATTAAATGTAAATTAGTAACAAACTAATAGCATACTGAAAGCACATTAACGAGCCTTTCTCATTAATAATTTTAAAAAGGATAATAAAATTGCTAAATGGTCATTTCAAAAATCTCCATTACTAATATAATATATTTCTGTTATCTTTTTTTTCAGTTTACAACTAACAAAAGAAATTCAATTATAGGAAAAAACAAAGATTGAAGTTCTCATTTGAAAAAAAAAACACACATTAATATTTATAGCATATGTATAATAAATCTAAAGGAAAATTAAATAATTTATATAAAAATGAATAAATATATATAACATAAATAACTGTTATGTTTTGTGTAACATTGGTTTTTATCAATACGTACCGTATAGTAAGACCGGAACTGCTAAGATACCTCCTGAATAAGGACTTCAACGAACCGCTTTCTGTAACGTACGCAGAATTCGGCAATGGTCGTAGCTCCAAGACATTTATAAAAGGTATACTTTTCCCTGTCTTAACAAGACATACCTGTAAAGAATCAGATTTGGTCACATGGATGATCTCCTCTGTAGCATCATCACTACCAACCGTTGTCCATATATTCGGACCCAAGTAAAGTTCAAAGTCTGGGCCGATCTTAAGATCATCGTAGTTTCCATATACGAATCTGGCCCTGATCAGATACTTGGTGTCCCGTGTGACATTTAGGTTGTAGCAGTTACGTAGTCCATCCGGAAAATATCTCAGAGTCAAAATCGGCTTAGTGTAGTTCGCTTCAAATTCCTTGGCGATTCTACTGGTGTTCCCACTGTTAACTAAACCGGCATCTGATGTATATGATAAACCGGTTGGCAGTACGTTGTAAGGAGACTCACGAGGGGGTAAACCGCAATCCACATTGATGAATCCTAATGAGATCGTAACTAAATTTTAAAAAATATATATCTTATATAATTTAAGAAATCGTTGAAGGACACACATATTATATCGATTACCAGTTGGATCTTGAGGTTGAACAAGATGAAGTATCAGCACAAAAGTGGCAATGAACACAAGATATCTCTCCATTTTTTCTCCTAGTTACTCTCCAAAGGAGTGATGTTTTAGATAGCAAGCTATGCATATGAGTTTATAGGATTAAAAGTCAACCGTCACAACTCCTTATAGGATTAATAAACCGAATAAATTAGTTGAGGATAATTATTTCACGGTGCAAAAATGATACGGTATAGCAGCAAGTTGAGAGAAAATGACATTGACAAGTGTGATTGATTAGAGTGGTCTCGAAAGCTTTCTCTTGTCCTTTAGAACCACAAAACGGAGGAATAATTATTATCCACCAGCTGAAACGTGCATTGCACGGTAACTGAAGCGTTGGTGGGAGCTACACCGTAATACACTGAGGTGAACTCTTCTTCTCCCACCGTAGGAGTTTAGTTAAGGCCAAAGAACATATATAATAGTTGAAGAATTCATGTTCTTTTTTTCACGCAATAGGATGCTGTTTCTAGATACAGAATTATTAGTTTGTGATAAAAATTCTGGATGCAATTTGTATCAAAAGACTAAACAGGACACTCTTTTATGTTAAATGTTTCATCTATAATCAAATTAATTTTGCACTGAAATAATTTAAAATCATTTTAAAATATCATATTTATCAAATTTAGTATAAAATAAATAAATAATTTTTTGTCAAAAGATGACTTTTTGCGATTTTAGTGGAAGATGAAATTCAACATTTTTTACATACAAAAGTGAAATTGTGGTTTTGGTGAGAAAATAAGGTTTTGCAATTTTGACAAATGTACATACCGTTTTATAATTAGTAAAAATACAAATTATTTTTTTGGTTTTAACAAAGAAAATTATTTTATAGTTTTACCGATCAAATATAAATGAGCAAAAAAAATGTGGTTAGTAGTTTTTGTGGAAATAATATTTTATGGTTATGATGGAATGTGATTTTTAGGTTTTGCTGAAAATTTATGTTTTGTAGTTTTAGCAGAAAACACCATTTTGTGGTTCTAGTGTAAAAACATAATTTTATGGTTTTGATAGAGAGAAATGGTTTTACAGATTTAGAACAAAACACTATTTTAGTTTGGTGAAAAACACAATTTTTGGTTGGAAAATGCTACTTTGTATGTAAATGCTATTTTGCCAAAAACAAATAATATATTAATTAGAAAACACTATTTTGATGAAAAAGTATATTTTGGTAAATATATTATCTTGGTTGAAAAACGTTTTTTGGAGGAAAAAGTCAATTCCTGTTGAAAAGCTATTATTATTATTTTTGTCAACAAGTTATTATTATTTTTTAGGATAAAACAATATTTAATGAGAAAATGATATTTAGGTGAGAATAAAATCATTTAAAATGCTGACCCAGAACAATTTTAATGAGAAAATGACTTTTAGCATATTAAATTATTTAAGAGATAAACTCAAGTTGTTGTGAATAAAGGCAAGTCGTTTTCTTAATCAACACAACAATAACATTAAAGTTTTTCCATAGCTTGACACATCAGCTTTTTTAAGCTTTATAAACATGACACCTTAGCAAAAATAATCATCAATCAAAACATTTTATTAATACATCTCATCGACTTATTTTAATTTTTAAACTTAAACCCATTAAAAACATAAATATTTTTTTTATTAATTTTTATTTTATTTTTTTACCAAACTCAAGCCCAAATAATTAATAACAGCAAATAAAAAATTATTATTTTATTTTTTGTCAAATCCAAACCCAAATAATAAATAAAAACAAATAAAAAACAAATTAAGGGATTCTTGCAAAGATGACCTAAAATTTAATTTGAATTGCAAATCTAACCCACAAAAATCACCTTCCCAACATTTGCCATTTTGTGTCCAAACAATCCTTCATAGTTTCAGTTATTTATGAAATTGCCATTATTTTAAATGAATTTCTTTTATTTTCGGAAATCCAAATGACCAATTAATCATCATCTTCCTCACGTATTTGCGAAAATCCTCTGAAAGTAGACTTCTCTCGGTCCGAATGAAGTCTACTAGTCAATGCCCAGGTTAGTTTTGCAATTGACCGCATGAAAAAGTAGACTTTTTTTGGTCCGAATGAAGTCTACTCCATTTCCTTTGATAACAAAAAAATGGAGTAGACTTCTCGAGTAGACTTCTTTAGAAGCAGGTCATTTTTGCAATTGACCAACCTTTGACTTTGTAGAGTAGACTTCTCTATGCAAAGTAGACTTCTCGCAGGTCATTTTTGCAATTGACCAAAAAGTCAAATATTTTTCAATTGCAAAAATGACCTGCGAGAAGTCTACTTACGGAAGTAGACTTCTCGGAGAAGTTTACTTTTCAGAGTAGACTTCTCCGAGAAGTCTACTTTCATAAGTAGACTTCTTGCAGGTCATTTTTGCAATTGACCAAAAAGTCAAATATTTTGCAATTGCAAAACTAACCTGCGAGAAGTCTACTTTTATCCGAGAAGTCTACTTTTCTTGTTTTTTTAAAAAAATCATTTTTATACAATATATAACAAATTTTTAAGATTTTCGTGATCCTAAGCTTTTGTTATTAAGTTTTCTTGCTTATGTATAAGTTTTGCATGTTTATATATTATAGGTATAGTCGAATGAGTTTTCATGTTTTATATGATACTTAGCTTATTAAGAGTAGACTTCTTAGTCTACTCTAGAAGTCTACTATATAGACTTCATCCGACTTTCAGAGAAGTCTACTTATGCAATTTTGATGTCTAATGTGGTTTGGATTTTGTTCTTTTTCACAGAGAATGGCTCACATACCCGCTGTTTATGGAGAATGGGTTAAGAGTGAATCAATGTGGCTGTTCGAGGTGGATAATAGCAAAGAAGGGCGAATGTTGTTCTTAAGAGATGGTTGCACACATGGTGAGCTTCTTGGTGAATGTTGGCAAAGGAGGGCGAATAGCAAAGGAGGGCGAATGTTGTCACCTTTAAGTTATGTAAAATTAATGTCTTTAAGAAGTCTACTCGAGACAATGAGAAACCTACTTCAGAAGTCTACTCGAGACAAGAGAAGTCTACTCGATTGACAAGTTACATGATATAAATGAGAGAAATGTCCCTCTGAATCACTTTTAAGTTATGTAAAATTAATGTCTTTTAGAAGTCTACTCGAGACAGGAGAAGCCTACTCGAGACAAGAGAAGTCTACTCGGTTGACAAGTTATATGATATAAATGGGAGAAATGTCCCTCTGAATCACTTATAAGTTATGTAAAATTAATGTCTTTAAGAAGTCTACTCGAGACAGGAGAAGTCTATTTTGTAGAATAGATAAACATAGATAATTTAGGAATTTGATACAAAACATTCAATGCAATTCAACATTACATAGAAAATAACTCTCTAAACAAACAAACATTTAAGGATCACTAATTATAAATCTTAAAACTGACATAAGAAATTACTAGTAAACTAAAATCTCTGAAAATTATGTATGCAACTGAAGTCTGCTTGAGAAGTCTGCTCGAGATCGAGAAGTCTACTCTAGAAGTCTGCTCAAGATCGAGAAGTCTACATTCAGATCTGCAAAAAAATCAACAAAATTCAGCTCTGCAACAATAACAAAAAATTTAGATCTAGAACAAAATCTATAAAATTTATACAACAATAAACTCAGATCTACAAATATAAACTTAGATCTACAACAATAAGCTCAAATCTAAACTAATAAGCTCGGATCTATAATAATAATCTACTATATTTATAACATTCAGATCTGTACAAAAATCAAAAAAATTCAGCTCTGCAATAATAACAAAAAATTAACAAAATTTACAAAATTTATACAACAATAAACTCAGATCTACAACAATAAGCTCAAATCTATAATAATAAGCTCAGATTTGCAATATGAACACAAAGCAAATAAAAGGAGGAACACAAAATCTCAGATTTGCTTACCACTACCATAACCTGCAAGTGAGAGGAGGTTGAATGCAAGATAGAGAGGATGGAGAGGATATTGATAGCAAGAGAGGAAGGAGAAGAAATTCATGGCCAGAGAGAAGGGAGAAGAGAGATAGACGTTTTTTAGATAGAGAGAGACTTTATTGTTAATACAATTAGGTTAAACTCTCTTTATATATGTAGAAAAAAATTCGTGTAAGTGGACTACTCCAAGAAGTCTACTCGAGAAGTCTACTCGAGAAACCGAGAAGTCTACTCGAGAATTCTACTTAGTATTCATTTCTAACATAATTTATTTATGATGATTTAAATTAATTATTTTGTGTCAATTTTTATTTTTAATAGGTGTAAAAATATATATATTTATGTTATGGATCTAATCTTTTTATCAAAATATTTTTCATGATTTTTAAAATTAATTGTAAACAAACTATTATAGAGAGAATCTACTCGAGAAGTCTACTCGAGGTAAACAAACTATTATAGAGAGAAGTCTACTCGAGCTCGAGTAGACTTCTCGGGGATAAATCAGTAATTGCGGCAGCGTTTTTTTTGTTTGGTCAGAAGGGTTAATGTTATAATTTCACAACCTTTGTGAGTTATTTTTGTCAAACATGCAATAAGGTTTCTAGTTTCGCATTTAAACTCAAATTTTGAGTCATATTCAGCAATTCCCCCCAAAATTAAATCATTATTTTCTTTTTTTTGCCAAAATCAACTCCAAATAATAAATAACAACAAATAAATAATAAAAAAAATTCTAGCTATCTGTTTGTTTGACATAGACGTATATGATTGAAAAAGTGTAGGCTCAGCATCAACTATGCTTCCATGACAACAACGCAAAAAGTCTTATGTTATAACAAGCTCACACATCAGCAAAATTTTGAACCGATAAAAACATAACAATATCTTAGTTTTCGCAGGTAAACACAATTTCACGGGAGACAATATAATTTTTGGTTTTCGCAGAAAATTATAGTTTATTTATTTTTGTAGGAAAACGTGATTCTGGGCTTGACGAGAAAATATTTTTTTTTTGTTTTGGCAGGAATAGACGATTTCTCAGTTTTCCCAGGAAAAATATAGTTTTCGATTTTGGCGGGAAAATACAAT